CCTTCCCTTCCTCCGCCTGGCTTCCGGCGGGGGCAGCGATCCTTCGCTCACTGCCGCATCACTCTGCCACCGCTTGGCGTTCTCCCTGTGCGTCCCTGTCCTCTTCTTACTAGGACACCAGTCATATTGGGCAAAGGCCCGCCCTGCTCGTGTGTGACGTCATCCTAACTAATTACACCCGCAACCCCCCTACTTCTGAGGACCGTCACATGCTGTGCTATTAGGGGTAGGCCTTCAATGTATCTTTAAGATTTTCTTTATTTAAAAAATGTAGTGACTCCCTGGCTGGCGTAGCTCAGTGGATTGAGCGCGGGCTGGGAACCAAAGTGTCCCAGGTTCAATTCCCAGCCAGGGTAGATGCCTGGGTTGCAGGCCATAACCCCCAGCAACCGCACATTGATGTTTCTGTCTCTCTCTCTCTCTCTGTCTCCCTCCCTTCCCTCTCTAAAAATAAATAAATAAAAAATCTTAAAAAAAAGATGTAGTGACTGTAGTTAATAACACTGTATTGCATATTTGCGAGTTGCTAGGAGAATAGATCTTAAAAGTTCTCATCACAAGAAAACAAAATTCTGTAACTCTGTGTACTGACAGATGTTGTCTTGTGCTTATTGTGGGGATTATTTCATAATATATACAAATATCAAATCACTACGTTGTACACCCAAAACTAATATAATTTTGTATATTAATTATACCTCAAAAAAGGAATGCCCAAATTATCATCTTTATTTATCCTTCATGCCACCCAAAGTAAACAAAAAGCACAAGATATAAAATTTACCACCTTAATCATTTTTAAGTGTCCGGTGTTGTGGTATCAAGTGCAGTCACCCTGTTAAGTAATCATCACCACCATCCATTCACAGGACTCTTTTCATTGTGCAACACTGAAACTCTGGACAAGTTAAACACCAGCTCTCCATTCCGCTCCCCCAGCCTCTGGCCACTACCCTGGTACATTCCGTCTCTATGCATTTGACGACTCCAGGTTCCTCGAGGAAACGTAATCACGCGGTATTCATCCTTCCGTGACTGGTCCCCTCACCACCTGCAATCCCAGCCTCCGCACAGTCCCGGGCCGGACAGACAGTGGGGCCAAAGAGGTGAGCGAGACGCAGCGCCCACCACGGAGGGCGCTCAGGGGCAGGAGGAGGCAGGCATGAGTGAGGATCTTTCTGAATCCCCGTGGTCAGTGATGAGCGCATTTGGGTTCTGGAGAAGGACTATGAGGGGGCCCTTAACTCGACCTAGGGGTCAGGGAAGGCTTCCTGGGAGAGACCAATGAAAGTCCAAGGGCAGGCCAAGCGCTGGAACCACACAGGCAAAGGCCAGGAGGTGTCAAATGCCCTGGGGGATGAAGAGAACCAGAAGAGGTTGGTATTACAGTAGCAGAGGAGATGGAGCGGGGCGGGGGGAGAGGGAGGAGGTGGGTCTGGAGGAGCCAGAGGAGCCCCGAGTTTGGACCCTGCCCTGCAGGTACCTGGGGCTGTGGACAGAGCAGGGGGGGTGGGGGGGGGGAGAAAAAAGAGCAATGGGCAGGCGGCTACCGAGGCTGTCTCGGGAGTGTCGTGGGCGGCCAGAAAGGGAGGAGAGAAGGGGTGGGATGCAAAGAAATGTTGGAGCTGAAACTGTTAGGGCTGGTACGGCGGGCAGAATAATGTTCCCGATGAGGCCACATCCTAGTCCCCCAAAACATGGCTGTTACGTGACGTGGCAGGAGAGAACTCAGGTTGCAGATGGACGCAAAGTTGCTGAGCAGCTGACTGCGAGGTGGGGAGATCATTCCGGCTCATCAGGTGGGCCCATGAAATCCTAAAGGTCCTCAAGTGTGGAAGCGGGGAGAAGAGTCAATGTCACGGTGAAGAACAACTCCGCTGGCCACTCCTGGCCTTGAGGATGAATGGGGGTCACCAGCCAAAGGATGTGTGTGGCCTCTACACCTCGAAAGGGCAAGGAATGATTCTCCCCTCAGGGCCTCCAGAAGGCTCCCCACACTGGAATTGAGCCCAATCAGTGCTGTGTCAAGAGAATGAATTTGTGTTGTTTTAAGCCCCTAAGTTTGTGGTGAGTTGTTATAGCAGCAACAGGAAACTGATACAACCCGAGGTGGAAATGGGGACAGGGCTATGGGGGGAGGGGGTATTAAGGGCATCTGGCTTGGGGACTGGAAGGATGGCAATGCCACCAACCATAAGAGGCCGCAGGTGGATAAATATGTGGGGAAGGTGAAGTCTGTCTACTGACCTGAGCCGCCCAGTCTAGGCCTTCGCTGAGCAGAGCCCAGGGTCCCCCAGTGTGGGGGGCTGGGGGTGGGTGGCTGTTCCATCATCACATTTGGGGATGCAGTAGCTGTTGTAGGACAGATGGATGGCGAGATCCCCCACAATTCCTTGGGTCTCATTTTTCAAGCATCAGAACAACCACGCTTGATAAGCGTTCACTTCCCGAACAAGCGAGAGAAAGAGGATTTAATCTTGGAGGACGCAGGTCAAGGCTGGGTTAGAAGCCCAGAGCAAAAACAAGGACACTGGGGGCTCTCAGGGGGGAAGACAGGCCTGCGTACCGGGCTTTTCCTGGAGGAGGGAGAGCCGGTGGGGCTGGCTGGAAACATTGCCCACCTCGCTTTCCACAGCAATTCTTTATTGTTGTTTCTTTTCTTCAAAATACAAAAGGCGGGCGTGGGGGAGTTTCTGGCTCGCAGGAGGAACGCGGGGCTCTTCCCCACCCAGGCCGCGCTGGCCTCTCCGCCGGCTTCGTCCCCCGCCTCCCCCGGCCCTTTGTCTGGCTCCCGCGCTGCAGCGCACATGGTCCCCTGTCAAATTCTGGGCAGCTCCGGGGAACACGTGTGGAGAAGCTGGCAGCTCTGCCAGCCCCGCGTAACCATGGAAACAGCAGCCAATGGGAGGCCCGCGTTGCCCGCAGGGGCGGGGCCGAGCGCCGCCGGAACCGGAGGGCGGGGTGGCGTGGGGCGGGGAGGTGGTGTCAGAAAACTGGGGGCGGGGCCGGGTCACACCCGCGGGAGCCCGGGCAGTCCGCAGTACCTGGGTTGCTCTCGCTCTTATCCGTACCACACAGTTTTGTTAACATCTTGACAGCATTTGCTTGTCACTCCTGGGATTTTCTTTGCCTTTAAGTCTACGGTTAAGATTCTAGAATCCAGCAAACCTGGGTTCAGATCCTACCAGAAGCACTGAGCTCTGTCCCTGGTACCAGTAACTGAACCTTTCTGTGCCTCGGTTTCTTCACCTAGGAAGTTAATACAAGGTCACTGTAGAGCCCCAGCAAGATAAGAGCGATTCGCCCCAGCCTGCTGAGCACATGCTCAGCAAACAGCAGTGGCCCTGTGACGAAGGTCTTTCTCCCGACCTTCCAGAAAGGAGGACCCGCAGGGTGTGAAGAATCCACCCCTGTCAGGTGGAGGCTCCCCGGGTGTCCACCTCTGGCTGATTCACCCAAGGTCGGTTTCAACGCCCGCCTCCACGCGCCCGTCAACAAAATGGGAAGGTGGGCCTGAACTCTGTCAGGACCCCGAGTTCCTGGAAGCAGACGCAGAGCTGAGCACCCCCAGGAGGAGGGGCAGAAAGAAAGTCTCGGTGCCAGGAGCTGGGGGCCAGAAAACAGGGTCTGGGCACGGCGGCCACCGGGCCAGGGACCCACACAGCATTTTCGCCTCTCTGAGCGAAAGCTTCTTGTAAAACAGTGAGGATGGTGCCTGCTGACCTCCAGCTCAGTATGGTGGAGAATGCGAAATGAGGAAATGGATTCTCAAAAAACCTGTTTGCTTCCAGGAAGCGGGAGAGGTCAATGGGTGCAGAAACAGAGGGCGCACTGTGCTGGGAGAGGCCTGGCTCCTCCCTCCCGGCTTCCCCGGGGTCCAGCATCCGGCCTGGGACACACCTCCACCAGCCGGGGGCATCCATTCGCCGGAATGTGTCTTTCACTCGCGTGAAGAAGTGGAAATGCGTTCATTCCTCCGCTCATCGGCTCCTTCATTCACTTGTTCATTCAACAAAGTTTTCTGTGGGTCTGCTGGGCGCCAGGTGCACTGCTAGGCAGAGGGGCGACCGCAGAGACCAAAACCCAGCCCCCGCCCTGAACGCAGTCATCTGGCTGGGGAGACAGACGGAAAAGAAATAAACACGCAAACAAACACGTGTCCACAAGCATCCACAAGTGCCCAGAGAGGAAAATGCAGGAGCTGTGAGAATGAAGGAAATGAAAAATGAGTCCGGGGGAGAGAGCAGGCAGGGCGGGCCTCCCGGAGGAAGTGATATTTCAGAGGAGCCTAAGGGCGGAGCGGGAGTCATCCTGGCGAGGAGGGGAGGAAAGGTATTCCAGGCAAAGGGGACAGTGTGCCTGAGGCTTTGGGCATTCTTGGAAGGAGAGGTTCCATGTGGCCCAGAGGCCAGCAAGGGGAGCAGGTGCTGGCTGAGGGTCTTGACTTTGGAAAAGGACCACGAAATGGTTTCCTGGGGATGTGCGGTGAAACACACACCCTGTTTTTCCATGTGGTCCCCTCAGCTTGGCTCAGACGCATTCTGGCCCCACCTGCCTCCTTCCTTTTGCGGTCTGCGGGCCCTGGGTGCTGCGGCGTCAGACAGGGTTCATCGTCACTCAGTGCGCTCCACTGTGACAGACAAGGAGACACACCCCCGTGAAAGGCTGTGGACACCAGGGTTAGAATTAGGGTTGGGTTTGGGGTTGGGGTTAGGGTTGGATTTGGGGCTATGGTGAAGCTCAGAGTTCGATGCTGAGTTTTGGTTAGGGTTGGGTTTGGGGCTCTAGTTGGGTTTGGCATTAGATGTTGAGTTTTCAGCTAGGGTTGGGTTTTGGTTAGGGGTAGGGTGGCAGTGGGTTCGGGCTAGGATAAGGTTGAGGTTAGATTAGGGTTAGTGCTGGGTCCAAGATTAGGGGTTGGCACTGGAGTTAGGGTTTGGACTGTAGACGTAAGTTCCATGAAACACACACTGGCGCCCAACAGACAGTCTGGGACAGAGTAGGTGCCTACTGACTATTTTTAATGAATTCATTTGTAGTTTATCGTGAACCCAAAAGACAAAGTAGCCAGACAGCATCATTTCCCTGGACATTCTGTTATTTGTCTGTGTTTTGCTCAGTGTGAACAGACTGGTGAAACTCACCAGGTACTAATTTTATATTCTTCTCTTTAAGGCTGCGCTAAAATCATTCCATGTAGGGAACGAGAGGAAAGCAGTCTGTGCGTGTTCGAGCCGGCGACCAAGACAGGGGGAACCAGGAGTCTAGGAGACCCGGTCCTTGGAAACCACTGGGGTGCTCACAGCAAGGCCAGCGGGGAGGTGGACAGAACTAGATCAGCCTGGAAGGTGAGGTTCAGACGAGGAACTGGGGAAGAAAAAGGCAAAGAGATGACCAATAAAGCTAAAAACAAGTGGGCAGACCACAGATGGCGGAAGGCCTTGTAAGCCGTTTAAATGCAACCCCAGTGACTCAGGGGCCCGTGCAGCCCCGTCCCCTCAGAGTCTCATTAAAAGAAGCTTGGATCTTGGCTGGTGTGTCTCAGTTGGTTAGACCATCATCCCATAAACCGAAAGGTCACAGGTTCGATTCCTGGTCAGGGCACATGCCTAGGTCGCTGGTTCATCGGGGCAATGCTTCTCTCCTGCATGAGTGTTTCTCTCCCTGTCTCTCTCCTTCCCGTCCCCTCTCTCTAAAACCAATAAGCATGTCCTTGGGTGAGGATTTAAAAAAAAAAAAAAAGCAAGCTTGGGACAGCAACCACAAATTATTTATGGGAATTTCCAATATCGTTTTGTCTTGCAAAGCATATTCAGGAGGATCCAATCGCTGACCTGCAGCCACATGTCTCGACGCCCTGGCCTCTCGCTCCAGGGCTCCGGTCTCCTGTCTGCCACGGAGGCCCCCGCTTGCCGCCCCCGCCTGTGGCTTTCCCGCCGCGCTCTGCTCACTCGGGTCTTCATCACCGCACAGCCCAAGGCAGCCTCGGGGCCTCGGATTCTGTGTTTCCTCTCTGTTCTCCCCACATCGTAGCGCCCCCAGAACAGCCTGGAACTGACCCAGCAGGGGCACGCCCCTGCCCCTCGGCCCCACCTCGCCATCTGGCTGCACCCTGGAACCAGACCGCAAAAGACAGGGCTCTCCGCAGAGGGCGGGAGGAAGGGCTGAACGGGCAAGGTCCAGATTCTCATCCAGGTGCGTGGGGAGTGTTTGTGACTCGTCCACTTGTGTCGGCCACAGTGTGAAGATTTCACCATCTCCAGTGGACAGTGGGCGGCCAGGGGACGGGGTTGAAGCTGTCAGACCTTTGAGCTCTTTGGAAGCAGGACTCCGTGTTTTGTGATGGGCACCCGGAGATCCCGGTTAAATATGGGATGAGCGGCAGGCAGCGGTGGGTGAACGGATGGATGGACGCGTGGATGGAAGACTGGGTTACTGAACTCTATGAACGTTCTGGATTTGCACGCAGGGCTCAAGGACCCCCAGAAAGTTACACGCTCACCACAGCCTCTCCCTCTGTCCGTGTTCCTCACTGTGGAGCCTGCCGCTCACAGACCTGTCAATGGTGATCTCCAGGCTCCTGGGGGGGATGGGGGGCGGTGGGGGGGGCAGCAGGCGGCAGGCGGCAGGCTCCTCCACCCACACGGCAGAGCGATCTGGCCCGCCTCCACCAGTGTGCTGGGAACGGCCCGGGCTCCCCTGGGCAAGCCCTCGGCGCCCGGGAAACCTCCCAGTGCTCTTGGCTCTGGCAGTAATTTTGGTCTCCAGCAGCACATAAAAATAGCTCCAAGGACACACAGGGGGCAGGAGGGGGGAGACCGGGTCCCCCACTTCCAGAAGATCTAGATACATATGACGGCCATCTCTCCCTCTGCAAGGGCCCGCTGCTGCCCTGTGACTCCGGACTTGAACCTGGGCCTGCACCTGTGTCAGAGCCTCGGGCCCACACTCAGAGAGCCCCTCGCTCAGCGGCCCCCGTCACCCTGCTTCGGGCAAAAAGAGGCAGAGGTGGACGTCCTGTGGGAAAATGGCTGAGATCCACCCACTGCCGGCGCCCAGCGCCCTCCTGCAGGGCCGCTGCGTGGTGCAGGACCGAAGGCTGCATTCCGGACAGGGGGCCCCAGGAGCCTGCGGGGCAGGGCACAGTGGGAGAGGGGGCCGTCCAACACAGGGTCCCCAGTGCTTCGATCCCCCAAACAGTGCTGATGCAGATGTGTACCCCAAACCCGGCCCTGCAGAGCCCAACCCGGGGGGCCAGATGCGACCCCAGCAGCAGGAAACAGCCCCAGGCAGGGGTGGGGGAGGGGGAGGGGGAAGGGAAGAAGCACTTCAGTAACAGGCTGACTACGAGCACAGGCCCGGCCTGCGCACCTCCCAGAATCCTCCACCCCCACAGGGGACTCACCTCCAGTCGTCCCCGTCATATAGACGAGCAAAGCGAGGCTCGGAGCGGGAAATGACGCAGCACACGGCATGCAGGGCACGCAGCCAGCAGGGGCAGAGCCAGGATTTGAACCCAGGGGTGGGGGGGGCTCGGGGGTCCGTGCTCTCGGCCTCTGCACTGACGGGATGGGCCAAAGGTGGGGTCAGTTTTCCTCCCTGCCTCCCAAAGGCCCCAAAATAGACCTGCTTTCCTAATGAGGTCTCCTCCCCTCAGCTCTGCAAATACCCACGTTCCCAGGCCCGGCCCAGGGTGGGGCCCTCAGGAGCGTGGTGCCCAGCAGGGCCTATTTCTGGCGGCGGCCCTGGGCCGGCCACAAGCGGCCTTCTGTGGTGGCCTCGGCCACAGCCCGCAGCCCAGGCCGAGGCCCTGGCCCGGCCTCCAAAGGGCCCATTGTCCGGCTGCCGGGGCCCGCCGGGCCTGGCTCCTGGACGTCCGGAGTCCGGGGCAGAGGGTGACCTCGGGCAGGGTGGACTGAGGGGCCTGTGTGGGAGCTGCAGCCGGCTCAGAGGACGGCCCCGAGTCCACCGGGCCTGCTGGGGGAAGAAAACAGACTCCACCTCGGGTCAGGCCTTGGGCTGGCCTCGGACAGGCCCCCAGGTGACACGAAAACATACGTACACACTCTGGAGGTGACAGAGCTGAGGACAGCAGCCGCGGGGAAGCAAGGGGTGGAGGGCCAGGGTTTACAGCAAGCGGCTCGGCTGGGGTTCTAATGCCAGTGCCGCCCCTGAGCCCTGGGCGGTTTGCACCGCCTCCCGAGCCTCAGCCTCCTCATCTGCGAAATGGGACGGACGCCGCCCCCGCTGCGCAGGTGAGCACACCCAGGCAGGATTTTTTTTTTTAACATTAGAAAGGTTTATTAGGAATAGTTTCAAACCCACTCAAAAGTAAGTACACATTATAATAAACTCCTATCACCCATCATTCAAACCAATAATCCCGGAGGGTTTGCCACACCTGGTTCATCGATCCTTTTGGGTTTCTTTGTTGTCGCCGCCACCGAGGTGAACGTGACGCCAGCCCAGGACGTGTCACTTCATGTCGCACGTTTCAGCGTTCCTCCGAGCACCCAGACGAGTGCTCTCTGTGGTCACAGCGCCGCCCTCACACCCGGCAACAGGAGCAGCAGCCCCGCGCCGCCGCGGTCTGCACGCCCAGCGCGGGGTGGGCTTCCCCGCTGCGGCCCCAGCGCCGCCTCCCGGGCGCGTGTTTGAATGGGGACCCAGCTAAGACCTGCCCGCGGCACTCAGTGGTTCTGTCCCAGCGTCTTTTAAAGAAATTTATTTTCATGCCATTTGACTTACGGAAGAAACGGAGTCCGCTGACCTGCTCAATGTCCCGTCCTGGCCTTGTCTGCTGGCTTCCCCGCGGTGTCATTCAGCTGTTGCTCTACCCTTGGATTTCTGGTGAACGAGAAAACGAGCCCCTTCCTTGTAAAATAACTGGTTTTATTGAGATGCAATCCACATACCACAAAATTCACCCTTTCCGAGTGGGCGATTTGATGGTTTTTAGTCCGCAGACGTGTGCGGCTTCCCTTCCATCCAGCGTTTTCACCCGCTGGGAAGGAAACCCCGCCTCCGCCAGCACCCCCTCCCCTGCCCCGCTTGCCCCGCCCCCAGCCCCTGGCGACCACCAATCTCCGTTCTGTCAGACAGTGCGTTCGCCCGTTCTGGACACTTCATGCAAATGGAGTCGTACAGTATGTGGCCTCTTGTGACCGGCTGCTTCTACTGAGCGCACTGTTTTTAAGGTGCATCCGTGCGGGCATCGGTACTTTGCTCCTGTTGATTGCCGAGCCATCTTCTGTCTCGTGAATACACCGAGTTTTGTTTATCCATTCGTCAGCTGACGGGCGTGGAGACCGTTTCCACTTTTTGGCTCTCAGGGCTAAGAGTCAAGTGTCCGAGTGTTTGTGTGAATCTCTGTTTTCAAGTCTCCTGGGTAGATTCCCAGGAGTGGAATTGCTGGGTCGTACTTAACTCCATGTTTAACATTTTGGGGAAGCACCAAAATGTTTTCCAAAGTAACTGTACCATTTTATTTTACAATCCCACCAGCATGGCATGAGGGTTCTGCTTTCTCTGCCTCCTTGCCAACACTTGTTATTGTCCACCTTTATTTTTTTTTTTTTGGCCCTCCTAGTGGGGATGCAATGAGATCTCACTGTGGTTTTGATTTACATTTCCCTAATGACTGTTGATGGTCAGCATCTTTTCATATGCTTGTTTCAATTTGTATCTCTTCTTTGGGCACGTGACTGTTCAAATCCTTTGCCCACTTTTCAATGGGATTATTTGTCTTTTATCATTGAGTTATAAGAGTTCTCTGTATATTCTGGATACAAGTCCCTTATCAGATATGTGATTGACAAAGCCCGTCTCCCACTCTGTGGGTTGTCCTTCCACTTTCTTGGTGTTCTCTAAAGCACAAAGCTTTTTATACATCTCGACAATGCCCCATTTATCTATTTATTCTTTTGTCCCTGTGTCTTTAGTGTCCTATGTCTAATCCGAGGTCACCAAAATCTACTCCTATGCTTTATTCTAGGAGGCCTGGGGTTTTCGTTCTCACATTCAAGTCTCTGATTCTTTCCAAGTTCACTTTTGTGTACGGTGTGAGGCAGGGGTCCCGCGCCATTCTTCCGATGTGTCCATCCAGTCGTCCACTCCATCTGTTGAAAGGACCGTCCTCTCCCCATTGCGTGGTCTCGCCACTCTTGTCAAAAATCAATTTAACATAAATGTGTGGGTTTATTTCTAGATTCCCGATTTTATTCCTCTAGTCTAGTGTGCCCCTATGCCGGGGCCACACAGTCTAATTCCCGTAGAGGTGTAGTGAGTTTTGAAGTCAGAAGGTGTGCGTTCTCCAATCTTGTTCTTTTTCAAGACCCTTTGGCTGTTCGAGGTCTCTCACATTTCTGTATAAATTTTAGGATCAGTATGTCAATTTCTGCAAGAGCACCAACTGGAATTTTGATAGGGGTGTCACTAAATCCATAGATCACTTATAGATTTGGTTGGTATTGCCATTGTAACAATATTGTCTTTTCATCCACGTATATCAGTTAGAAATGTCTATTTGTTTAGATCCTCTTTTAATTTCTTTCAACAGTACTTCATAGTTTTCAGCATACAAACCTTGCAGTTGTTTTATTTTTATTTTTTAAATATTTTATTTATTTATTTTTAGAGAGGGAAGGGAGGGAGAAAGAGAGAGAGAGAGACATCAATGTGCGGCTGCTGGGGACTGTGGCCTGCAACCCAGGCATGTGCCCTGACTGGGAATCAAACCTGCAATGCTTTGGTTCGCAGCCCGCGCTCAATCCACTGAGCTACGCCAGCCAGGTTGCAGTTGTTTTATTAAGTTTATTCTTACATATTCCACTCTTTGGATGCAAATGTCAACGGAATCATTTCCTTACTTTCATTTGCAGCGTGTTTGCTGCTAGTACGTCCTGCACCCTTGCTCGATTACACATTCTCCTTCTGAGTGGATTCCTCGCAGTTTTCAAGGCACGAGATCATGTCATCTGCAAACAGACATGGTTTCACTGTTTCCTTCCTAAATGGTCTTTTATTTCTTTTTCTCGCCCAGTTGCCCTGGCTGCAGCCTCCAGCACTGCACCAACCAGGAGTGGCGAGGGCGGGCAGCCCTGTCTGGTCCCTGACCCTAGAGGGAAAGTTTTCAGTCCCCCACCGCTGAGTGGGGCGTTCGCCGTGGGCTCTACACGGATGCACACGGGCATGCTTCCCATCCAGGCCGAGGGGCTCCAGAGCCCTGACCTTCTTGCCGGCCTCGGAGGTTAGAGCAGCTCTCTGGGCAGGGAGGCTGCCGGGAGGAGGTTCAAAGAGCTGTCCAAACTCAGGACGGGCTTGGAAGGGCTGGCTGACTTGGGATGCGTTGGTGCCACCAGGGAATACCAGGCCCCACTGCTGGCGAGCTCCGGCCCCGTCATCCCTGCGGCCACAGACAGCCCTCGGCCGGGCAGAACAAGTGTGAGAAGCTCAGGGCCGTACCCCCTGAGGCTCTGGCTTTGCTCGGCTCCCTCGCCACCCGCCCCACCCTGCCGCTCACCCCGCTCCGAGGCAGATGGCCCGGGGAGAAGAGCGAGGGGACCGCTGACGTGAGCACTGGGAGCAGGAAGAGCTGGATGCAAAGGAGTCAGCCGGGCGGAGAGTTCAAGAGCACAGACCTGGGAGCTGGACTTCTGGGTCCCAGCCTGCCCTGCCCCCACACCGTGGACCAACAGGATGACCCCGGGCAAGTCACTGCAGCCCCCTGAGTGTGAGTTTTCTGATGGTCACATCGGGATCACGACAAAGCCCACTACCTAGGGCCACCGTGAGGACGACGGGAAGACTCGTAAGGTGCGCAGCACAGCATGAAGCGTATTCTTGGTGCGTCATCAAGTCCGGCGATGGCTGCCTTCGTTGTTGTCACTGTCCCTCTGACTGCCGTCCCTACCGCTGCTGCCGGCACGGTGGCGGTGGCTGTCCAGCACCCTCACCGGGAGAAGGAGCCTTTCTGAGTGTTCAGCCTTTGTCTGGGGACTCCCAGTGGGCCCCGAACTCCTGAGTTCCTGTTCACGCCGCACCCCACGGGGGACCCAGCTTGAGAGAGGGAGCCCCACTGCTTTCTCCGCCAGAGTAATTGCTTTTTCCGCTCGGAAGGCACCCACTGACCCCAGTGGGGCCCGTGCGAGGCATTCCGGAGGTGTCACCTCGTGAAATGCTCGCCACATAAGGAAAGAACGATCACTGTTGTCCCCATTCCACAGAGAAGTGTGTTTATCACCTAAGGCCCTATGGCTTATAAGAGGTGGAGACGGGATTTGAACCTGGGTCGTTGCTCTTACCTACTGGGCTGCACACCTCTCCCCAGCCACCGGCCAAGCTGGAAAATTCAAGAGGTCACCTTGGGACAAGGAGTGGGGGGCCCAGGGGGACGCCCGGGCCGGCAGCGCAGAGCCGCGCTGCAGCACGGGTACTGTGTGGGGGCTTCAGGGTCTGCGTCCTGACCCCGGCTCCCCCAGGGTCCCCGCCCAGGCTGAGGGGCCATCTGGGGACCTCTGGGGCCCACACTGTTCTGTAGCCACCCCAAGAGCCCTGCAGCTCCCCCACCCTTCAACGGACTTGCAGC